TTCCAGAAAGTTAAGACTTGCAGGAATTCTGCTCTAAACGCTCTATTCATGACGCCGTATATGACGGGATTAATGGAACAACTGCCGAAGCCGAGATATATGTACAACATAAAAACCTCTCGTGGGATGGCGAGTTTGTGTGCTGAGAAAGAATCGACCATGTCAATAATAGCTATGGGTCCCCAACAAAGAATGAAGCCCAGTACAGTTGCGAATAATGCTTTTGTTATTCTCACCTCTTCCACATTCAATCGAAGGGTCACCCCTTTTCTTGTATTGTTCATCTCCTCATTGTGATGTTTGATGGTTTTAAAAATCTTGTAATATGCGAAGGTGATGATTCCAATAGGAACAGAGATGTAGATAACATCCAAATACGCCATGTAGGCCATGTCCAGCTGCGGCGTATCAAAGTCCATAAAACAGATAACTTTACCGTAGTGCACGATAAATGTGGCCCATTGAGCCAACGATGAAAGCCCCGCACCAAAAGCAGCGAAAAGTGTTATGGCAACCACAGAAATACAGGTTGATTTGACTTTAAAACGCTGGCGATAAAGATTAGGTTTCACCACGCGAAAATATCGGTTGACAGCTGTTGCAGTCATAAGCAGCAAAGAAAATAGTGCACAGAAGAAACAAAAGAATCCTTGGAAATGACAAACAGCACTGCTGAATGGCCACTGTCCTGTTACGAGAAGAACGACGGACATGGGCATACACAGGACTGCCATGAGAGCATCAGATATAGCCAGCGTCACTACATAGATGTTTGGTATGGTGCGAAGTCGTTGGTTACGGTAGACAGCCCAGCAGACCAGCATGTTACCAGTGGAGGCCAGAATGTTAATACACATCATAAGAGCGCTTTCGAAGACAACCAGACTAATAGAGCGTTGTTGCAGCTCTTGAGAAAGATTCGCTTGTCCTTCCGTTGCCATCTTTTCAAGAAAATTAGAACAATCTAGCAGTCGTTTAACGTGATTGTTGCGAGCATCCTACGAGCGATGATTTACTTCGTGTCGACTTTTCAATTTTACATTTGTTACTTGTGAAGAATTCCTCGTAGTTGAGGAGTATCAGAGTGTTGTTTCTGAGGGATTAAACCGTCATGACCACAGCGTTTAATGTGTGGACATTCGAGGATAAAATGCCAGCACCGTTTATCTGCGAAGATGAAGGTGCGAGTTTGTGCCATTAATTTCCATTGTCAGCTTAATGGAGTAAATGAATTGTTATTCAACTCTTAAATTGTTTATGGAATCTTTCACCGAAGATTTTTAAAAGTCGTGAAACAAATCATTTGAGAGCAAAGTAAAGTACAACTACATCCATGTCTTCTAAGTCTAAACGACTGAAAATAGCCACAAATTTCGCAGGCATAGTCGTTTATCGAACAGGTAAGAACTTTTCTCCCTAAAACGACAGCTGCCGTATAATTTCTTTCATTTTATTAGTTTTAGTTTCTATTTTTTTTTGTTCACAAGTCACAGTGTATAGAAATACAAGAAAAACATCGACTTAACGTTATAAACTCAAAGTAATCCTACAGTGGTACAAGTACATGCAAACAAACCACAACTACATTGAAAAGACTTGAAAGACAATCCATTAGGGGCAGACCAACTAGTAGAAGAATTGTCCCCGTAAACATTAAATGAAAAATTACATGTCTGGAAAATGATACTGAACAATGGTTAACTGCTAATGCGTAGATTAACATTTGGAAAGTACTTGGGGATAGATGTCTACACTACACACTCTAGGATGTTATTGAAAGGTTACGTATTTCAATCTAGTTTGTTGTCAACAATCCCCTCTCTCAAAAAAACATCATCAACAAAAACACCAGCAGCAGCAGCAGCAAATAGAAATGAGTTTAAGTAATTATTGATCCACTCAAATGTAAGTAACGGTTGACTGGCACAAAACTCTACTTCTCGCAGCATTTACGTCAGTGTAGTAAATGACATTTTTCATGACACGTTGTAGTCAATATAATATCTTGAAAAGTTTCTTACAATGTAATAGCTGCGAAATAGGGACCAGAAAATTTCTAGTTTTAAGCAAGCTTAATTTACGGGACAAAACAGGCTCTGCTCGGATCATAACAGTGAATACTAAGTGTTTCTATTTGGAAAATAGTGAGTTTAGAATTAACTATTGCTGGAAGCGCCGAAACTATTTAAAATGTAGATGACATTATGTAATTCAGTGACCCCTTAAATTTTTTGTTACAAGTCTACACACTAGATTTGGCTCCTTGCCAAACTTGGTCTTATTTTAAGCAAACTGATCTCAATTAGTGGCATGCTAGATGATAACTGTGAAACGAGGAAAGGAAAACGAGTTTACTTTCCAAGATTAGATACATTAGGTTTACAGTACCGCATTTCCTTAAGCTAAATAGATAAGGGTAAATGATATAATAAAAAAGGAAAAAAAATAAACAGAAAGCAAAGATTCAATGAGCCATTCGGGCAATATAAAGCAATTATAAATCAATCACTCCAACAGAAACATCAAAATATCCTCCTGGTCAGGTCTAACCCGTGTGGGCATTTGATTTCTTTGATGTTCCCGTGGGTGGCTGACGTCATTGTATGATATCGGTGCTGTAGTGGTGTTGACTGATCGGCATCAAGCGCCTCGATTTCGTGTTCTGTTTGTACGACCTTATTTGAAAAAGCGATCGAAACTTTAGAGGATTTTAAAATGAAATTGCGTACCTGGGAATCAAAAGCCAGGGCAAAAGAAATGATCACCTTGACAAATGTAATACTTGAGGGGGG